GGAATGAGCGCCTATGCTCGGGCGCCAGGGCCCTCGACCACAGCGGGTCCTCCGTCGCATCTGCGCTTGACATGTCGACGAGGGTCCCGAAGTGGATGTCGTCTGGCGGCCTCCTCTCGACTGCGTCGTCATTGGCCTCCCACTCTGCACGGCCGAGCGCGGCGGCAGGGCACTGCCGCGCCAGGCGCCGCACAGCGCCGCGCGCATTGCGCCCGCGAGGGCACCAGGGCAACGACGCCAGCGGCCGCGGCGCGCCACTGGCCAGAGACAGCCGACCAGCGCGTTCTTGGCCGAGCTCATCTGCCTGACCGCTTGCTCGCTCATCCGCTTGCGGCGCAGGGCGCGACCGACGCTGGACAGGGCCCCCCCCTGCGGCCAAGTGCCCCAGGCCAGGATGCCCGCCCACGTCCCTCCACAGCAGCCGCCCATGGCTGGCGCCGATGTGCTTTGAGAGGGTCGACGCGCCCAAGGCATTCAGGTCGACGGGCTGCTTCAGGTCGTTGAGGAAGAAGCCTGGCCGCAGAGCGCCCCATCCCAGGCGATGGCATGCCAGCACGCAGGCCGACGCAGGGCCCCTGCCTGCAAGGGCCTCAGGCCCCTCCGCAGCCTTCCTCGCCAAGGCCCCTGCGAACGCGCTCCCGAGTGCTCGCAAGTCCGCGCGGTCAGAGTTGAACTGCACCGCCTTGGCCCACGCCACGATGGGCAGCGCCACGTGGCCAATGAGCGGGTCGCTGGCCAGGCGCTTGCCGGGGAGAAATCTGAGGCTGAGGCTCTTGCCAGGCCCTCTGCCATGGTGAACGGCAGTGACCTGCCTCCGCCACTTGGTGAGCTGCGGCGACGGCCATCCCACCGCGCTCAGGCCGTGTCGGGTGGCAGGCCTGAGCCCCGCGCTGGCAACACGCGCTGCTGCTGGTGTCTCCTGGGAGCGGATGGCCCGAAGCCTCTGCAGCTGCGGTGCCGCCTTGGTGTGGCGCGTCTCGAGCACCACGAAGGCCTGGCCGTCGAGGCAGCATTTCACTCCCAGGTTCTTGACCGAGTCGGCGATGGGAAAAGTGGCGCCCCCAATCTGCTCGGCCACCAGCGAGGCCAGCTCAGGCGAGCTCGCAGGCAACTCGCTCTTCGACTCCGACATCTTGCAGCCCGCCGACACGAGCTGCGCCACCACGGCATTGGTCGCCTGGGCGACGTACGTCGCGACCTGTGCCATGGGGCCGCGGCATCCAACGCAGCAGTCGTCGAACATGATGGCGAGGGTGGCCCGACGCCCCAGCACCCGCCATAGGCGCGCGTGCTCATCAGCCAGCACAAGCAGGCCCCACTTGAGGAGCCGCCCTGCGTGCGAGCAGCCAGCGAGGAGGCCCGCGTCGAGCAGGCAGGGGTCGGAGACGCTACCGTCGAGCATGAAGCGCCGCGCGCCAGCATACAAGGTCAGCGCCATGCTCGGCAGCCCCCATCGGGTAGCCCGCCATGATGCTGCGGTCCTGGATGATCGCCAGGTCGACTAGCTCGTAGGCCTTCAACAGGTCGATAGGTGATGCTGCAGCTCCCTCGCCCCGTGCCTGTGAGGCCTCGGCTCGGAGCGCTAGCCACCAGACGGCCTCTTCGGCCGCGCGCCCGCGGCCGCCCCAGAATGCGCCGGCAACAACTGGGTCGATCTGGGAGCCCCAGTGCCGCGCGTCTGGCTGACGGACGCGACTCCAGAGGCGCGAAATCCAGCCCAGCAGGCATATGGGCCGGAAGCCCCCTTGAGGCTTAGGAAGCATCACCGCGAGAGAGTCGGCGACGGTGTCGGGCCAGCCGCCCAACTCCTCGCACCGCATCCCGAAGTCGATGATGACCTCCAGGAGGGCGTCGCTGAGGTCCGCTGCCTTTCTGGGGTTTAAGCGATCGCTGCCGACGCCCGGGCTGCGCCTGAACGTCTTGGCGGCCTGGCGCGCCCGATCGGCCGAGGGCCTGGGCAGTGCCTCTGCCTCGGCGGGCGGTCGCCGCGGGCGAAAGCGATCGCTGTCCTGCCGAACCCGCCAGACCTCGGAGGCCCACTGCTGCGCCACGACCTTCACTCGGTCGGGGCCGCGCGCTGGAGCGCCGCGCAGCTCGTCGCCGGGTGCCCAGCCGCGCGGTCCTCGCCGATAGGCGTGGAGGCCCCCTGCGCTTGCTGCCATGGAGTTGCGCATCCACTCCTTGAACCCCTGGCCGCGGATGGCTGCAAAGGCGGCCCCCCCCCTCCGCCTCGGCCGCAGCCCTGGCCTCGGCAGCCCATTCGGCCAGGGGCAGCAGGTCGGGGCAATCGGCCGCCAGGGCTACGCGTCCGGCCCACTGCGCTCCCAGCGGGAGGCCCTTCATGGACGGGGGCCTCGGGGCTGCCGCACCTGCGCGCGCCTCTCGGCCGTCTGCGCCGCCGCCGCCGCAGCTGCCGCCGCCGCTGTCCTCGCTGGAATCCGACGGAAGGTCGCCGTGGTAGCGCATGAAGTGCTTGACGGAATGGATGTAGCTGAAGTGCTCGTCGCCCGCGACTGCCCACGCGCCAGGGGGGCCGGCCTCTAGGGCGGCCGTGCTGCGGCGGCACTCGCCCCTCAGAGGCTGCGCGCCTGACCGGCTCTCCTTGCGCAGCTCCACGGCCCTGCCCCAGCGCGCGGCTGCGCGCGCCGTGAACGGCTGCGCCGTGCAGGTGCCGCCCACGCCCTCGCTGCCGGCGCTGCCGCTGCTGCCAGTGCCGATGCTGCATGCCCCGCTCTGTGGGCTGCTGGGTAACCTCCACCTGCTGCCGCCAGTGCTGCGAAGGAGCCTGGAGGGGGCTTGCTTGGGATCGCGCTGGCCCCCTTCCGTAGATGCTGCTCCCAGCGCGGCCCATGCGTCAGCGCCGCTGGGGTCCTCCACGGCTTTCGCGTCGGCGGATCCAACGCCCGAGGCGCGAGGCGCGCGAACGCATAGCGCGCGGACAGCTCCACCCACCCGGCCCTGTCGAGCTCTGGGTCGGGAGCGCGCAAGTGCGGGAGCCAGCCTCGAGCGAGGCGCTGGATGGCCCTTCGAACCCCTTGCACGCCTGCCTCGATGGCGCTCCAGCCGCCGACTGCCGCCACTCGCTCAAGAGCGGCGCAGAGGATTGGGGGCTGCGGCGTCGCCCGTAGGTCGCCACTCGGACGGGGCTGCGGCGCCGCCCGCAGGTCGCCCCCCATATTGTCGCAACCCCAGCGCGGCCCCCAATCCGCAGGAGGCCTGGTCGAAACATCGAAGGCGACGGGGGCGCCAGGGAGGGGCCTGCTGTAGTCGCCGCGCCCCTCCAACCACCGCTTCGATTCCAAGTAGTTGTCGACCGTTCGGCGGGCCCCCCCCCCCCCATCCTCGGGGCGCAGGTGACCGAGCTGTCGAAGGAGACGAACCAGCTCTCACCTTCCAGGGCCCCCCGCGCCACCACGCAGAAGAGCTGGCCCCCCTCGCGGTGCGCATGCGGCTCTCGAAATCCTGCGCCCCCTGCAGTGCGGACCGGCTGGTCTCGCCGACGTCGCCGCTGTCAAGGTATACGGAGCCGAGCAGAAACCCGCCAGGCACTGCCCCATTGGCATGGGCTACCGCGGCCCTGCCGTCAGAGACGCGGCAGCTGGCCGTGCAGCCCCGATCGCCTGGGCCGCACATGCCGAGGGCAGAGCGAACTGCGACTCCAGTGCCACCGCTCACCGCGCGCTGCTGCGATGCCCCGGGGTCAGCACCGCGCTCCAGCTGACCTGCCTGCACCACTGCTCCTGATCGACGACTCGGTCGCCGTTGAGGTGGTGCTCCTGGAAGCAGATCGCGTCGCCCACGTGCGCGTCGGCGACCACCTGCAGCTGCGGGCCCTGCTGCTCACCGAAGATGGTCGCGAAGGGGCCCCAACCGCTTCCGTCGTGGCTGGCCACCGTGAATGCGGGCTCGCCGCCCACGCCCCACCCTCCCCCCTCCGCTCGAGCCCCGCAGAGCGGAGGCTCGGGGGGGGGGCTCCTGCGCGCGAAGCCTGCGCCTCTGGGCGGCCTGGGCTGAGGGGTCACCGCGTCGAGCCCCTTCGTCACCGCTGCCAGCGCCTTCCGCCGCGCTGCCCTCCTCCGCGGGGACCCCGACCTCCTCCCCCATGCTGTCCAGGATGTTGCTGAGGTCGGCCTCCTCGAGTTCTTCGTCGCCGCTGTCGCGTTCTGCTGCTGCACCAGCTGCTGCAACGCTGTGCGCCAGCCGACGAAGCTGGGCGACCTGCTGTTCCCACTGCTGAGCGCAACCTGTATTGAGCATGCCAGAGGCCTGGTCCAAGGCTTCACAGAAAGCCGCGGCGCGCTCGCCCTCGCTGAGCAAGGCTGCTGGGGGCCGATGCGCTGCAGCTGTGGCGCCCACCCCCACCGCTCCTTCTCCGAGTGCGCCCTCACGCTCACGTTTGTGCTTGGCCAAGAGGTAGTCGATGAGCGCCTGGAGCTCCTTCTCCGCTGCCTTGCTCTGCTCGCGCTTGCTCTCCAGCTCGAGCTTTTGCGCCTCAAGGCCCGTGATATCCTGCGCGGTGTCCGCGATCTTCCTGGCAAGCGCCTATGAGGTGCTCTGCTGGTTCCGCTGCTTGCGCTCGAGCTCGCTGAGCTGGACGGACGTGGGCCTCTCCTCGGAGAGCTCGTGTTCCAGCTGCTGTGCCTCCTGCCGCTTGCCCGCAAGTATCCCGGCTGCGCCCTCCACTCCTTCGAGTTTTTTGATGTAGCTCCGAAGCTTCCCAAGTCGCCGCACTCTCTCGCCCTTCGGGGAAGAGGCTGCTGCTGCTCTTGCATCACCCCCTGAAACTGCACGAAAATCTCTTTCGAGCTGTTTGACCTTGCGCCGCAGATGGTTGAGCTCGTGGCGTTCCTTGGCGTCCAGATGTGACATGCCACTCCACCACGAGCTTGCCCCAGATCCTTGCTCCCACCAATCAAATCCGCAGCTGCGACAAACGTGCCTGGAGCCCCAGTTTTTCTTGGCTCCGCACTTGGGGCAATCCCAGGCTTTGGGCTGGCTGCCTCCGCCACTGCCGCCCCAAACACCGTCTGGCTGACCTCCCCCGCGTCCGCCTCTACCGCCTTTGCCGCCGCCGCCACACGCGGCACCCCGAGCACCACTTCCACGTCCTGCCATTGGTCGAACCCGCCGCGGCTGGGTTCCCAATCGGGCGACTGGGGCCGGGCGTCAGAAAGGTTATGGATATGACAGAACTGTGGCCGCGAAGGCCTCGCTGAAAGCTGGGTCAATTTGGAATCTGACTCAAGAGGTGGCGCGACGGCTAGAGCCAGCCACATGTGACCAGATATCGATCCTGATCGCATCATATTGAGCCAAAATGGCAACGGATGATGATGATGATGCTGCTGCTGCTGAGTGATGATGGAGATGATGATGATGATGACGACGACGACGATGATGATGATGATGATGATGGATATGATGATGATGACGACGACGATGATGATGATGATGACGATGATGATGATGATGGAGATGATGATGCTGACGACGACGACGACGACGATGATGATGATGATGATGAGAAAAGGAGGGACGGGGCAGGGAGAAGGAGGAGGAGGGGGAGGAGCGAACGCGGGGACAATCCCTTCAAAACGAGGACCCAACACCACAGGATGGTTGGGAAAACTAGAAACGACAAGCGTTCAAATCCTGTAATAAGCAATGCGCGGAGGGGGCGGGCCCCTCCCCGGACGTCCTCGGCGGAGAGAGGGGTATATCGACTAAGTGTACAAGCGGAGACGGGAAGGGGAGGGGGAGGAAGGCGGAGAGGGTAGGAGGCCGACGACGATGATTCAGGAGAGCGATGACGACGACGACGACGACGACGACGACGACGAGGACCAGGACGATGACGAGGAGGAGGAGGAGGAGGAAGAGGAGGAAGAGGAGGAGAAGGAGAAAAAGGATGCGGAAAAGCAAACATGATGATGAGGGGGAAGACCTGCTCTCTCCCCTCTCCAGCCTCTCCTCCGTCGTCCGTCGCCCCCGCGCCTCCTCCTTGCCTCTTTTTTTTATCCTACCCTCCTCCTCGTGCCGCCCGCGCTGCGTTCTCCCTCACCACTGGGGTCCACGTTCACACGGCCTCCTACCAGACACGAAGACAAATGGAGGGGCCGAGGGCACGAGTGCTGCGCACCGAACTGTCCGCATATCGCAGATCGCAGCAGGAGGAGGAGGAGGAGAAAGGGAATCAGGGAGGAGAGGGCATGAGGGAGGGGAAGGGGCAGGGGGAGGCGGAGGAGGAGGAGGAGGAGGAAGAGGAGGAGGAGGAAGAGGAGGAGGAGGAGCGCCCGTGACTCCTGGGGGTCAGCTCGCCTAGGCGCGGCGCGGGGCAACCGGCAGCTATGCGTTGGCGAGTGTGGATATGGTAGTGCGCGAAGCAGTGAATGAAGGTGGAACTGTTAGGAGGAGGCCTCCTCTTTGCCACCCGGTGCTTTGGTGCAGGTCCCAGCGCGAGCCGCCCATCAAACCTGGGTCGTGTGGGCGGCGGGCCCGCGTGGGGGTCGGGGGCGCCTGGCGTGGCGGCGTCGTCGTCGGCGTACTGCAGCGGTGGCACCTGCACGCGGTGGGTTGCGGCACGCGCCAGCGCTTGGGCCACACGCGTGGGGGACAACGTGACCCATCGTGCACTGGTCCTTGGGAGGCAGTTTTCGCCAGGCGGGTCTGCCTCGTACTCCTCCGCGGAACCCCACCCCCAGGAGGTGCAGGGCGCTTGCGTGAGCGATGGCGCGCGGCGCAGTGCACACACACACCACCACCACCAAGCGCCACAGCATTCCAGGTAGTGCGAGATCTGGTCTGTGCCACCCTCGCAGCGCCACTGGCAGGGCAGGCGGGGATGCCCCACACGCACGCGGTAAGAGGTGGGCAAGGCGCCTGCCAGGGCGCGGACGGTGGCCCAGCAAGTGCCAGGGGCAGCGACCGCCAGCTGGGCTTTGAGGCGCCGCCACCTCTGGCGGAGGTCTGGGGGGATCGCCAGGCCAGGCCACCAGGCACTGAGGCGTCGACGAATGGCGGCGTCGAAGGCCTCAGGGCAGAGCTGTCGAGCAGCGGCAGCCACGTGCGTGCGCTGCGGGCGGGGTTTGCGGGCAGCGGCCGCGGCGGCACATAGCTCGCCGCGTGCTGCTGCGTCGGCCGCCTGCAGGAACTGCCGCCTGCGCCGCTGGATACGCCGGCTGGGGGGCTCTACCGTGCCGGTGTCGACGGTCAGGAGGCATTGCAGCGTAGACTCGGTCTGTTCCCAAACTGGCGCAGCCCATCGGCCCGAGAGGACAAGGTGATGGAGAGGACGTCCATCGCGCTAGCGCGCCCCGCCTCTGCGAAGACCCTCCAGTCGACCAGCGCGGCGGTAGCTGTTCGCCATGTGGCGGCCCAAGCAGCAGGCCGCAGCGGAGCCAGGGCAGGTCAGGTCGCCAACGTGCCTAAGATTAGGTCGGCCATCGCGAAAGACCTCGGCGGGGCCTGCTGGATACGATGCAGCTCGCCCAGCTCGCCTCTAATGGGGGCCCCCCGAGGCCCTCACAGGAGGAGGAGGAGGAGGAGGAGGAGGAGGAGGAGGAGGAGGAGGAGGAGGAGGAGGAGGAGGAGGAGGAGGGGGGGGAGGAGGAGGAGGAGGAGGAGGGGGAGGAGGAGGAGGAGGAGGAGGAGGGAGGAAGGAGGAGGAGGAGGAGGAGGAGGAAAAAGGAGGAGGAGAAGGAGGAGGAGAGGAGGAGGAGGGGGAGGGGGGGGGGAGGGGGAGGGGGGGTGGGGGGAGGGGGAGGGGGAGGGGGAGGAGGAGGAGGAGGAGGAGGAGGAGGAGGAGGAGGAGGGGAAGGGGGAGGAGGAGGAGGAGGAGGAGGAGGAGGAGGAGGAGGAGGAGGGGGGAAGAGGGGAGGAGGAGGAGGAGGAGGAGGAGGAGAGGAGGAGGAGGAGGGGAGGAGGAGGAGGAGGGGAGAGGGGGAGGAGGAGGGGGGGGGGAGGGGGAGGGGGAGGGGGGGGGAGGGGGAGGGGGGGCGGGGGAGGGGGAGGGGGAGGGGGAGGATGAGGAGGAGAAGGAGGAGGAGGAGGAGGAGGAGACGAGCGCACAGAGGATGGCAATCCTCCAGGAGCCACCAGCCTATCGACCCAACGGCCAATGGCTCTTCTCAACGCTTTCGAAAGCGGAGGAGACGAACGAGAGTGAACGATCGGAGGCGGCCTCCAGCGGCGGCGGCGGGGCGGGCGCCGCGGGCCCGCCTGTCAGGAACTTGTTGTCCAGGGGGCGGAAAGCCGCTTGAATTGCTGGAGGATGAGGAGGGGAAGCAGCAACATGAGCACACGAACGGGAAGGGATCAGCGGCGGCTCGGCGGTGGCAGGAAGATGGGCGAGGCACACAGCTGCCTCGCTCAGGCACGCAGGCGGCGCCACGCCAGGCCAGCCCGAGCTCGCGTGGGCGAGGCACACAGCTGCCTCGCTCGAGCACCCAGGCGGCGCCGCTTCAGTCCAGCCCAAGGTCGCTTCCTCCGACCCTGTTACGGCCATGGGCTGGGCCTCACCGACAGAGGCAGGTGTGAGGAACACTCCAGAGCCAGAGTACCCAGGGGCCTCAGGAGCGGCAGAGCGAGCGGCCTCAGAAACGCCTCGAAGGCTCAAAAGGGCAGGGAACTCAGAAGCCTCAGGAGTGGTCAGAACATCACGGGCCTCAAAGTCGCGCACGACATCCAAGAGGAGCCTCGAGCTCGGCAGGGGGAAAGCGGTTCCCATGCTAACATTGATAGAGGTATTCCCAGTGAGTGTAAGATCGTGAGCGACAGAAGGTGGGGCACCATCAGCATCGTGATCAGGAGACTCTCTGTCAGCAGCGTGGGCCTCTCCAGGGCCGAAACGCATCAACGTCGGAGACGGGGCAATCGTCGAGGGCGCGGAAAAAGAGCATGATGCTGCCCCTGTGCGCCGTCGACGCGGAAGAGATTCATCCTGAACATCCTCGTCGTCCTCTGGTGCATCGGCAGCTGGCGTCGCACGCGGAACGCGATAGTGGGTGGATCCATCAGCACGGACAAGGGGTGAAACTTCATCACCATCTGAGTCCACCAAGTGCTCACGAACGCGCGCAGGAGCATTGTTCCCGAGGTACATCCGCATCTCGTGCCTGATGTCGCGGAGGGCCGAGAAGTAACGGTCAGCAGCGTTTTCCCAAGCCTCTTGCCTCTGGAGCGCGTACCTCGGATTGTTGAGCCAATTCAGGTAAGCGATGATGTTGAGGCGTCCCTCTCGTGCTCGTCCCCAGCAGTCGTTACAGATGTCACGCGCAAGTTCATCCAAGGAGCGCCAACGGCTAACAGTATCGACCCATTCCATCACCTCCAGCTTGGCGCGCACGAAGGGAATGCACCACAACCACCAATCAGCTCGACCACTCTCAGCATCGCCCAGACGAAGTATCCAGCGCGTGGAGCGAGAGACGACTCCCTCATAGAAGATCTCCGAAGGACTGTCAGGATCAACTGGGGCAGGTGGAATGCCCATCGCCTCAGGGGCCGAGGCGCGAACCACAACCGGTGCCGAATGTCCGGTCGACCGCTCCAAGTCTGTCAAGGGCGATCGCGGTGAAGTAGAGAGTACACCACCAGCCGCAGAGAGGCGCACAGGCGCCGAAGACGTCACAGAGCTGGCCGTGGCGACCAGAAGTGTAGTGGCAGTACGCAAGGTACACATGGAGGTGGCCACCATCGCAGTCGTGGCCACAGGTACTGTCGAGTTCCCGCTCGCAGAAAACTCTGAGCGAGTACACGGAAGGGCAGTCTCACCAGTAGGCACGCCCTGGGTATGAGCCAAAGTGCTGCCAGGTGTTGCTGCGTGCTCATCGTCCTCCATCTCACGCTCCCAACCACCTGATACTTGTCTCCACCTACCTCCCGCCGCAGTCCCAAGACCACCCTGCTCAGCTGTAGTGCGCTCGGGCGGAGAGTAGCTAGGCCATACGTCATCGTCAGAAGGGGCGGGAGGGACAAGGCCAGGGAGAGGGGCGTCAGGGGAACGTCGAGGCGTCAAAGGCCAGGGGTCAGGGGGAGGGCCATCAGACGGGGGATCAGAAGCACCTGTGGGCACGCTGGTGCACGACCCCGCGGAGGACGAGGAGGATTGCACATCATACTGAGGCTGCTGGTGACGCAGGGCCTGGACCACGGGTGGGGGCTCCCATCGTCGCAGTCGGTCTGAGGGTCGAGCCAGTCGCAGGGATCGGATCGCAGCCCCCACATATCCACGCAGCTGTCCTGGCGTTGAGACAAGTGGGCCCTGGCGCGCAAGATTGTACGTCTGGTACATGACGTACATGTTCTCAAGATGATCGGGATGAGGCTGAGTTAGACCCCATCGAGCAGCTAGAGGTCCAGGCAGGGATAGCTGCATACCACGGCACACCACATTATATAAGATGGGGCACCGAGCATAATGTTGTAGTCTATCAGGCCTCTGACACCCGAATCTGCACTTGAGCATCCCTTGAGGGTGAATAATGCGATATGATGCCAACCACCCATTCCCCCATGTGCGCAACGCAGACACGGCCCAGTTCTGAGGAACCAGCCGAAGGAGCTCTTGGATAGCTGACCAGTGAAGCTGATCAAGAAAGGGACGATAGCCAGCGAAGAACGGGGTGAGGTTGCGGATAAGCATAGCGTGGAGCGGCCTATGTGCACACATTGCTTGCCCGAGGGAACGAACCGCAGCACGCTGAAGCAGGAGGAGAAGGAGGAGGAGGAGGAGGCGGAGGCGGAGGCGGAGGCGGAGGCGGAGGCGGAGGCCTTCCCCTGCGCCGTTCCCGCGTCCCTTTCGCTTCCTGCTGCCTCTCCTCGCCTGCCCCTGCTCCGCTCGGTCGTTCGCTCTTGGCGTTCCCTCTCTTCCCTCCCCCCTGGGTTCGCGCCCCCCGTCGACCTTGGCCCGCGGCCCGCGCGCGCCCCTCGCCCCTCCGCCCGCCTCAGGCGGCCCTTCCTACCGCTCCGTCGCGCCGCTCGACCGACCCGCCCTCCCGCTGCGCAGGGGGCCGCAGAGGCAAAAAGAGGCGGCGGAGGAGGAGGAGGAGGAGGAGGAGGAGGAGGAGGAGGAGGAGGAGGAGGAGGAGGAGGAGGCGAGAATAGGCGAGGAGCGAGGAGCAGGAGGAGGGGCAGGAGGAGCGGCGGGCGCAGGAGCGAGGAGATCAGGAGCGACCGAGGCAGCGAGGAGAAGCGAGGAGGAGCGAGCGACGCCGCGAGGCGCACGACTCCCTGCCGCGCCCCCTGGCAGCGGGGCCGTGCCGACCGGCAGCGCCTCGGGCGGCTCCGCGGCGCACGGCGAGCGCCAGGCGGCTCGCAGCGCGGCCTCACGGCGGCCCTTGCGGCGGGCTCCCCGCAGGGGCGCCCGAGAAATCGGGCCTGTCATCGGCCACACGCAAGAGCGACGAGAAGAAAGGGGTCTTGCGCGAGATGGCACAGCGACCTGACGCGGTGGCTGACGCGGGCCGCCAGCGCGGCACGCCGCACTGGAAGCGAGGGCGCTTGCGCGCTGCCTTGCGCGGGCAGCTGACGCGTCAATGTTGGCGCAAGCGAGCCCGTTTTTGGCGTCGCGCAGACGTAGGAGTGACCCTGCGGCAGGTTCGCGTCCCGATGGCGTCGGCGTTGGCCCCTGTCGCCCCGTGAATCGTGCAACCCTGAACGGTCGCGGCATTCCCATAGGGCAGGTCGGTCGCTATCGGCCGATTCTGGGCCACTGGCGGCGCTCAACCTTCAACGCCGGAACTGGGGCCACCGCCGAAGCAACGCGGCCCGAACCTACCGCAGCCTGGAGAGTACTGCAGAATCCCCCCCCCCGTCATCGCTAGCACCGCACCCCAAAAGAATTGTCATGGGGCGAACTTCTAGCCGAAGGATAACTTGATGCCAGACCACAAAAAAAGACCCCCCCCCCAGGCTTGCAAGCTCTCGAAACGAAAACGCATGTGCGCGGCGCTTACGGCGAGAGCCACATCTTGAAAACGAGCCGCCCCGCCCCCCAATCCGTGAAACTCGTGCAAGCTTTTCGACACGAATGTGCGCGGCGCAGAGGAGGAGGAGGAGGAGGAGGGAGGAGGAGGAGGAGGGAGGAGGAGGAGGAGGAGGGAGGAGGAGGAGGAGGAGGAGGAGGAGGAGGAGGAGGAGGAGGAGGAGGGGCCGGAATCTGACGCTTCCGGGTGCGGGAAGCGTCATCCTGTTGCCGAAGGCGGGGGAGAGGGGGTCGTCAATACCGACCAGGGTGGGGCAAGAGTGGCCTCTGGTGCGCGGTCTCAGGGAGCAGCGTGGGCCACACCCAGGCGCGCAGGCCCCTGCCGGGGAGGCCCCCGATGAGGTGCCGCACCACGGGCCCCTCCGCCGAGGGGCCACTCCTGCGCGGAGCGGGTGCCCGGGGCCCGCCCGCCGGCGCTCCGCGGCTCCGCGGCGGTCGCCGGCGCCCCGCGGAGCGCTCACGGCGAGCGGCGGCCCGGAGCGCCGCGCGAGCCCAGCAGCCGCACGGACTCGAGCAGCTGGCGGAGGGCGCGGTCCACGGCCAGGAGGCCGGCCTCCTCGAGCAGCTCGGGGTCCTCGAGGGCCCGAGACGCGCCGTCGCCGCAGGCCGCGTCCAGCACGGCCGACACCACGGCGCCCCGCAGGCGCGGAAGCACCTGCGCCCTGAGCATGTCCACCACCGCCTCCGAGTCCAGCGCCGCCGCCGCGCGGAGCGCCTGCGCCCGCGGGTCGAGCGGCACCGCCAGGTCCGGGGTGGAATGCAGGATGAAGCCGAAGGCCGACTTCAGCGCCTGTCGGCGACTCGACGACGACGACGACGGCGACGACGGCGGCGACGGCGACGACGACGACGACGACGACGACGACGACGACGACGACGACGACGACGACGAAGAGAGTGGTTTGCAGAGGGTATGGTTTGCAACCCGCGCCTGGGTGGGAGGGGTAACGGGCGAGGAACTCGACAGAGATCTCCGCCGCGCCCCGACGAGGGCTCGACAGACCTCTGGTGCAGCGTGGTGACCCCCTGAGCCCCAACGGCGCCGATCGCAAACCACACCCCGGCGTATCAACCACACCCATTGTAATTAGTCGCTGAGCCTGCGCCGTGAAGCTCTGGAAGACGTCGGGCCAGCACTCCCCGTCGTCGCTCCAGGCGTCCTGCAGCGCCGCCTGGAAGCCCACGGCCGCCTCGTCCAGGAACTCCGCCAGCAGCGCCAGGGCACGCTCCCCGCGGCTCGCGAGCACGGCCGCGGGCGCCGCCGCCGCCCGCGGGGCTGTCAGCTCCTGCGCGGACCGCTGGAGCCTCAGCAGCTCCTGGTTGGTGCACCGCAGCATGCGCACCGCTTCGTGCAGCTGGCTCACCGCGTGGCTGGTCTCGAGCCTCCGCTGCGCCTCCGCGTCCGGCGACGCGGCCCCCGGGCTACCGGGGCGGCCGGGCGCCCCCCGGGGGCTGCCGCCCCCCTGCTGCTCCCGGCCGCCGTCCTCGTCGCAGGACCCGCCCGAGGCCTCCTGGTCTTCGGCCTCCTCCAGCAGCGACCTGTCGGCCTCCTGCGCGCGCGCGCACGCGCCCGCGGCGGCCTCAGCGGCGTCCAGGGCCACCACGGCGAGCTGCTTCGCGGCGCGTGCGACGGCGACCATGGCCTCGCACGCGCTCGCGGCCAGCCGCCGCTCCACGGAGGTCTCGCCGCTGTCCTCGGAGCACGCGGACGTGACAGCGCCGTCGTCGTGGTAGACCGTGATGGTCGACTCCGCCAGCGTCTGCAGGCAAAACGCCAACGCCACGTTCACCCTCCCGGCCCCCTCCCGCGCCAGCTCGGCCGCCCCCTGCAGCACCTCTGAGCCCTGTCCGGCCCCGCCCCGCTCCTCGCCTTCCGCGGCGCACTGCCCCCGCCGGGCCTGCAACAGCTCGTGCATCTTCCCCAGCAACTTGGCGACGACCGTCCCCGCGTCGGCCACCGCCCGCGCGGCGGCGAGGCCTACGTCCGCGTTCTCGCGCCCGCCGTCCCAGTCCACCGGCTCATCCTCGAAGGCGTCGCGCGCCTCGCGGCAGTGCTGCAGCGCCTCCGTGGCGCACTGGCCCGCCCCCTCGGCGGCGTCCAGCGCGGCGCGCGCCAGCCAGCCGAGCTGGCCCTCCGGAGCCTCGTCTGCGTCGTGGTTTGGCCTGCCCGGCTTCCGCGCCGCGGCGCCCCCCGGCCGGTCGCCGCGCTCCCCCTCCTTGGCGTCCTGCTTGGTCTCGGCGGTCTGCCTCTTGTCGGGGCGGAACCTCGGCGAGTCGGCGCTGCTCCGATCGGCCTCATCCTCCTCGGCCTCTGGGTCCTCCTCGCCGGCCTTGCCGTCAAGCTCGCGCAGGATCTCGTCGTAGGCCCGCTGGAGCTCCTGGAAGGCCGCCTTGTCCCCGCCCTTGTCCGGGTGCAAAAGCAGCGCCTTCTTGTAGAAGCACCGCTTGACCTCCGCCCTGGTGCACCCCCTGCGGACGCCGATGATGCGGTAGGGGTCGAAGCGCTGCCAGCCCTCCAGGGCCTCCCGGAGCCAGGCCGCCACGCGGATCGTCTGCTCCACGTACTCGAGCAGGCGGTCGGCCTCGTGCTGTAGCTGGGAGGGAGAGTACGCGCTCGCCGCCTCGCGGATCTCGTGCTCCGTGCGCCGCAGCCACGCCAGCATCGCCGTGTCGTCCGCGCCGTGCTCCAGGCGGCCCGCCCGTGGCGATGCGGCGCGGCTCGCGAGCTGCAGGCACTGGTCGCCCTCGCCGGGGTGCTCCTCCATGCCCAGGTGCACCCTCAGCAGCTCCCGCCAGACCTGCACCCGGACGGCGGCCCCAGGGTCAGAGTCGCCGGCCCGCTGGGCGCGCATGGCCATCCGGTGCAGCGCCCACTCCCAGTTCAGGTCGTCGACCGCGAGCTCCTCCTCGCCGTCCCCGCCGCACTCCCTGTGCACGGCGGCGCAGGCCTCGTGGAGGACCTCCGCCGGCGACTTGTCCTCCAGGTCTGCCCTGACGCCCTGCAGGCGGGACTCGGTGTCCCCGAGGCGGATGCACCCGACGGCCCACAGGGCCACCCGGCCAAGCTCCTTTAAGACGAAGCCAGGAGGACGAAGATCGAATCGGGTGAGGATAACAATCGAGGATCTCTGAGATGCGGCGGCTCTGGAGGATGTCTCAGGCGCCGCGGCCTTCTCGGGGCGCTCCGGAACGCTCGTTCCGGAACGCTCTGGAGCGGACTGCTCCTCGTCCTGGCCCGGCCCCAGCTCCTCGTCCTGCTCCGTCTCGCCCAGCCCCCCCTTGCCGCCGAGCAGCTGCACCACGGCCTCGGCCAGCTCGAGCCGGAGCATGCACTGCTGCCCGGAGATGCGGCCCAGGGCCCAGGCCTGCACGGCCCGGCAGCCCTCGGGGCCCAGCTCGCTCTGCCGGATGTACTGGTAGGAGGCCACCTGGGGCAGCCGAGAGGTACGGATAGCGCTGGTCGCCGGGGGGCGCGTCCTGAGCAGAGCTTCGAGGCGAGTCTAGTGGTTGCGACGGGTGCCTCCCAGGAGACCCGAACAGGGGAAAGCGAGGGAAGGGTGGCTGCAGCGGTACCTATACTCTAGAGGAGCCAGAGACGGCATAAGCATGAACTGCCGGAGGTGCGCGCGGATTTCTTGGATCATACCCTCCGAAGTTTACATCATATGGGCTGGGGGGCGCCAATCCCCACGAACCCGGCACCGTACGTGCAGCGCCAGGGGCGGCGGCCCGTCTTCCCATCCTACCATTTCAGGGGGATGCGAAGTCCCAGAAGACGGGGCGGGGTGGGCACGGGCGGGCATCATAGCTGGCTCAAAATCAACAGAGGCATCATAGCTTCATCTTTCTAGATTGACCCACTCACGGATCCACTACCACCTGAGCAACGAAAAGAAAGGAGTCTTTCGCGAGATGGCATAGAGGCCTTACGCGGCGGCTTGCGCGGGCCGCCAGCGCGGCACGCTGCACTGGAGGCGAAGGCGCTTACGCGCGATCTGAAAGAGGGAGCTGACGCGCCAATGTCGGCGCAGACGACCCCATTTTTGGCGCGTCGATCACCTATCTTCTCACTGGCTTCACTCCATGCGTGGCATGCTCCTCCCCCTCCCTGGCGCTCGGAGCGCGCCAGGGGCGGCGCCTCGGGGCCCCAGCGCAGATCCAAGAACTCGGCGCGAACCGTCGAAAGTGTACCATGCGCACGCGGCCGCAGGAAACCCTCGCAAGAAGTAAGACGTGTCGACGTAGCCAAGACGAGGACATGTTCGGGTGAGGATGAAACGAGAATCTCTGAGGTCCAGCAGCTCTGGAGGATGTCTCGGGCGCCGCGGCCTTCTCAGAGCGTTCTGGGACGCTCTGAGAGCGTTCTGGAACGCCCAGGAACGGATTTACGCCAGATGCAAGTGGGGAAGAAACCACGGCCGCGGAAACTCACCGCGCGGCGCGCGGCGCACCGGGTTTCTTGATGCGCGTCTCCAGTGTACGTATTCTGCAATTTGATTACCTCCTAGGTGGGGTCGGAGTAGATGGGGTCGGAGGATCGCGCCGCACCGCCGATACATCGGCGATGTATCGGCGATGTATCGGCGATGTACCGTCGATGCAACGTCGACATCGGCGGTGCATCGACGACGTCGACGCGGAGCAAGACGGGCTCCACATCGAGCCACATCGCCGACGCATCGGCGATGCGGAGCGATCCTCCGACCCCATCTGCTCCGACCCCATCTAGAGGAGGCCTAAGCATTACAGCTCTTCTTCGGTGCTCCTCCTCCGAGCCACCGGGCGCTTCCGCACCGGACAGGCAGCCCGCTCCTTGCGGGCCCTCGCGGCCTTCGCCAGCGACGGCAGCCTCTCCAGGCGCTGCCGCGCAGAGGCGGCGGCGCCCGCGGCCACGAGGGCCCCGGAGGCTGGCCTCGGGCGGCCCCCGTGCAGCGCCGCCTCCCCTGCGGGAGCACCGCTCAACCGATCCCCACCCCCACCGGCGTGGCCCGGGCCCCGCTGGCCGCCATCCCGCCCTGCATCAGAGTTGGGGGCCCGTCGGCCCCCTCGAGCCACGGGAAAGGCACGGCGGAAGGTTGGCATCGCCATGTTCAGCCTCTGGGGGCCCTGGCCGCGGGCCTCGGGACCGTCAACAGACGACTCGGGATGGAAAGCTGGTCCCAGGACATGGGTCGAGACCTGGCCGCCGACGTCGGGGCAAAAACATGACGTCGGGGGTCTGAGGACACACGCGCCGTCCCCTTCGGGCATCGAGGGGCGTGTACCCCCATCTGGGGCGGCGGGATGGCGGGCCCCATGGGGGCGACGACAGGCTCAGCGGCACCGGCCTGCCGGAGCGGCGTCGCCCTCCGAGGCCTCGCTCGCCCCGGAGCCCCAGCCGGCGCACCACCAGCTCGGGGGCGTCCCGGGCGCGGGGGCGGCGGCCGCGTCGTGCGGGCTCGGCAGCGGCGGCAGGCTCGGCCTGCGGCCGACCGGCGCCGCCACGCCCGGGGGCCCGGCGGCGCGGGCGCCGGGGAGCTCTCCGCCGCCGCAGGGGGCGCCGGCGCCGCCCAGGGCCTCCGGCAGCGGCGGCAGCTTCGGGGGCTCCAGGACGCAGGTGCTCCGCACGAGCGGCACCGCATGGCTCAGCTTCGGGGTCAGGGAGACCATGCCGGCCCCATGCGGCGGAGCCTCGGGCGCCGCCGGGCCTGCGGCTCGAGCGGCTCGAGCGTCGTCGTCGTCGTCCCGAGGCAGGGGAGGGCGACGACGAGGAGGAGGAGGAGGAGGAGGAGGAGGAGGAGGAGGAGGAGGAGGAGGAGGAGGAGGAGAAGGAGGAGGAGGAGGAGGAGGAGGGGGAGGAGGAGGAGGAGGAGGGGGAGGAGGAGGAGGAGGAGGAGGGGGAGGAGGAGGAGGAGGAGGGGGAGGAGGAGGGAATGAATGAATGAAATGCCCTGGCGGGGAAAGTGCACAGCACTAAATACTGAGCTCAGCTCAGAGTACTAGCCTCTCGGCGAGGCAGCTTCCTTGTCACGAATTCTCTCCACAAGAGCTGCCATACGCACCTCATAGGGAAAGGCGGCCCCTGATGCCGAAGGAATAGAAACCACCGTAGAGTCAGACACCGCGGGACTCCTGGGGCCTCTCTCCGACGGCCTCTTGGGGGCCAGCCGAGCAAGGGGAACAGTGCGACCCAGGAACTCCGCACACTTGCGATTAGGAGATTTACCCTGGAAAAAGAGGTTTATAACTTCCTGACCCTTCTTGGTGGGGGGCAAACAGGGACCAGCCAACTTTAAAGCACGGCCCTGGGACCACCCTCCACACTTTAAACACACATAGCTTTGCTTCTCAGGGATCGCACACACGACATCGACCGAGGCAGGATTTCGAGCCAGCCCAGCCGCGACGACAAGGTGCCCCTGGGGATCCTTGAGCAGCTTGTCTATGAGAGGGGGTACACCAGAACATCCAGTGAGATCAAGCTGCGATCGAGCGTTCCCGCCTAGTCTCAGACAACGGCTGCACTGAAATCCCGCGGCCCCGTCCTGCCAGTCGCGCCAGCCGACACGGAGCCTGTTTTGCGCGCGCCTCGGGGCGCGGGGAGGACGGGGCCACCTGAGATCGTTCTTATATAGAGGTAGCACGGCAGTGGCAATCTTGACGAAATTGTTCGCCCTCTCGAGGGCAAGGTTAACAGAAGCAAGAAACTCTGGGTCTGCTCCGACATGCTGCAACAGAGCTTTCTTGGCATGATGATCCACCACCGAATTGCCAACAGCAAACTCCCTCTCACCGTCTGGCAGCGCATCTATGGCAGCCTGTGCGCGGTGCGCCTTCGCATGTCGAACCTCCTGGAGCCACTGCTGCCCCTCGAGGCTCTGAGCGAACAGACGGATGCCAGCAAACTTCGATGAGGCAGCCAACTGGTGAGCAATGTTGCGCTGTGTCACTTTTATTGCCGACATGCAATCCGCGCCGAGCACCGCGGGTCTGTTCGCCACCTGGCCGCACAAAGCAATCGCAACGTGCTCAGCCAATGCAGGTGTCTGCGGAAAAGTGCCGTGGACTACGCCACGTAAAACGACAACTGGCTCAGGTGCCGCTCCAACGTCGGGCAGCACTCCGATGGCCCATGCTGCTCGCTGGAGCGCACGGATAGGAGGCTTGGAACAAGATCCGTCTGATACAAGACGGAGCACCTGATCGCTTGAAAGGTCTGCAATCTGCTCAGGATCCATGTCTAGTGGGTTGCCCAAGACATCAAACAACTCAACCTCAGACGACGTACTCGGTTTGGGCAACTCAATATCTGGATACACAAAAATCCCTCTGGTAAAAATCTCGAGATCCGGATCTTCGAGCGCTGCCTGAACATGCTCTGGCGTGGCACCCGACTCGTCTCGAGCTACTTTGACATCCTCACGCATGCACGTGTAGAGCCTGTGGTGGAGTGCGTCGACCTGTCCGCACTCGCAGCGCCCGTCCGTAGCGTAACCCGCCAAACGACCTCTCTCGTTGGTCCACACTCCATTGCACCCACAGCATTTCACTAAAAACTTGGCGTGCCTACCCAAACCCTTAGCTTTTGGCCCCAAGCGGTCCCGCACGAGATCCAAGGTGGCCCTGTGCCCAGGGGGGTGGCCTAATTTAGCTGCTAGAGTCAGTTCATGCTGGCGCTGAATACTAATCTCTAGCATCTCGGCTAACAGAGCAGGAGGGGTCTGATCTATCTTCACCGTGAAACCATTGTGATCATTCCACTCCAAATGTCCTAGCACCTCCCACCCAGCTCTCTGGAGCACTAGTACCGCACGACGGATAGGGCCGCGAGAGGAGCTCCAGGGACCACCCTGCAGAGGCTGGGCCGAGTCCCAGAGCCTGAGAAGCTCACTCTTACTGGCTAGTGCTCGCTCGGGCTGAGTGGAGGCTGTCCAAATCATCCTACACCAATGGATCGCAGGGGCCACCGCGAGACGAGAGCTCTTGTCCCCAAGAAGCACCAGCTTCGCAGTCAAAGAAACCCCGCCGTGACAGGGGGCGTCAGCACTACACATCATTCGCTGGTGGGACCCCCACTCGGCCTGACTGAGGCCTGAAACCTCGGCGCCAAAACTGCTAGCTGGAGCAACTCCAGCACGGCAAATCCTGGAAAATGGGGCCTCTTTCCGACCCTTAAACCGTTTCTTGTAAAAGCTTGACCTTCCTCAGACGCAATCTCATTCCAGAAAAACGTCTGGCTTGCTTGGCTCTCACCCCATGCTGCACCGCGCCTGGCTCCTGCAGCCTCGTCGACGCCGAGGTAGGAGACGCTCTGCTTGAGTATGGAGTGCGGCATATCTAGCGCGTCGAGCACCGCGCGGCCGAGCTCCGGGGTGGACGCCAGCAAGCCTATCTTCTCATAATTGAAACCAGCCGAGAGCTTCTCAGAAGTACGTCGGAACTCAGCCATAGCGTGCACAGAGACCTTCACTGCAATCTCCTCATCTTTGGCACCGTTGCTGAGAGCCGTGTCGTCTATGTAGTTGAGAAAATCTATCGCGGGCATCTGGATATGCACTCATCGAACTCTTCATATGCGTGCACCTTGATCGCCAAATCATTGTAGCCATCGCCCGCAGGTAGGCCACACACAGCAAATAAAGGTGTGACAGAATGATGCCTGCCCAAGCGAATGACACGCGGTGACCTCCACGTGTTATACACCAGCTTGAGCCAGCGTACAGGCACTCCTACTTTCAGAAACTTGATTCGCAGCAGATCCAACGGTATGGACTCGTAGTACTTGGACCAATCTATGACCCACATGAGGTGATGACGGTTGCTGTGCTGATCGCTCTCAGCTCGTGCCGCCTGCAACCAAGCACAGTCAAGTGCCGAACGTCCTTTCGTTGCACCCCAATATCTACGAGAAAGCTGCTGACTGATGCCTGATACCATCCATCTGCGAGCGCGCTGCCAGATACGGTACACTCCAGCATACAGTATGATCAAACGGTTGCCTCCTGACGGCTTTCCCAACATCGGCATCTGTATCCAACATAACTGCTTAGGGAGCAGCCCGATAGCCTCAGAACGTTGAAAAATCGCACTAAGCACTTCCAAAGCGTTGTCGTCTAGCATTAGCGCGTGCCGAGGGTGGAAATGATCGAAACTCGCTGACGTTCCAGTCGGGAAGGTTCTCACCACCGATCTGACAGCTTCGGGTTCCATCACTGGGCACGTGCTCCGATCCGGCACCCAAGCATAATGTGCTTGCCCGCTTGCCTTCCACAACTTCTGGTACATCTCCACTTCCTTCTCGACGATCGCCACTGGACTGCCTGAGACGACTGGCCCTGAACACTGAGCTGGCTCCGGTATGGCCTTGACCTTCGTGAGTCTGTGAAGAGCACGCGCACCGCGGGAAACTGACTCGGCGCACCACTCACTCCACAACTGCGCAGACTCCTTGTTCATGCCTAATACCGCTGCCTCCAAGTCATCATTCACCTCGTCTAGGAACTGGGAGATCGCATCAGTGTCCATGGGGATGCCACTGACAAGATCGCGCGCTTGACGAACAGAGAAATCGAGGCGCGCATGCAGCCCTTGACCATGATACTGCACCGTGAGAAAACTGTCAATCTCGATAGAACACTGATCTAGATTGCTGGTCCCACGATAGAGCTGCAATATCGCCTGAAGACTGTTTGTCATCCACTGCCAGCCTTCCGCGATCAACTTGGCGTGTGTATCGCCATCTAACTCATACGCAGCATCAACCCACCTGGGAGACAGGTTGCGACCGAAAACCCCAGGCTCTTTCAACTCCGTGCCAGTGTTGATCGCCACCTGCTTCGCTGCCGTCACTGCGAACTTCGACCACGCACGTGATAGAAAAACCCATACAGCTTCGACCGACTGCGTCTCGTCCGTCGCCATGGCCAAACACGCCTCAGCGAGGGCGCGGTGGGTACTCCAGTCAGCTGGGGCTGCAGTAGGTCCTATCACTGGAGCCGACGGCAGTGATGGCGACACAGTGTACACGAAATGACGAATACTGTATCCATTGTCCACGATACTCAACAGCACAGGTTGATGCGGTCGTTTAGCCCATCGCATTTCAGCTTGCACACCTCTGAAACCTCGCACCGCCACATCGTTTAGGGCGAAGTAGTCGATAGTCGTGGATCCCGTTCCTGTTCGACAAGTAACTTGAGTTGGCACTGCCACGGTGACCTTTGCCGTTCGAAGGAATCCAGTTCGACTCCAGTTCTGCCACAGACATATTCCAATCACATCCAGCAACACAAGGCCCACGACAGTCGGAGAAACATTGCCCGAGCTTGGCCAAGATAGTGGAGTTGATGCCCGTGGGACCGATGGAGTCCTTGAGATATCCGTTCAACACATGATAGGCTGGCCATCCAGGGAGGTCTACCATCACATGCTGCAAGCGATGTGGGTACAGAACATGTTGTCCAGGCTCGGGCTTACGCAACCCAAGCTCAGCACGTGCAAACACCGCTACTCCAGCTGAAGGGTTCCCTCCAGTAGCTACACCAGGAACTGCAACTAACTTCCATCCACGATTGTGCGCCCACGTGTACAAGGACTCGACATTGGATGCATCATACCCTATCTCTTGAGCCAGGATAACATGCGCACATGAACGTTTCACTCGATCTTTTTAACGTGTTGCGACCACCATTTGCATTGAAAGATTCAAACAGGTAGGTGCTCTGCGAAGG